TGAGTCTGGGCGTGTGTATGCATATTTTTTATCAAACACCATTCTTGGTGGGTTGATACATGAGCTCGGTAAAGTTAGACTTAGGTTTGACTGAGTTGCACATGTTACATTGAAAAATGTGTTAGAGTGTAACAAGCAGGGCTAGACCCCCGTTCTGGTGCAAGACCCGTAAACCGTTGGATATGTATATTCCATTGGTGTAACGAGCCTGTAAAATTGTGTGGCGGCGAGGATAGAGCTGTAGGTGAAATGTCTTGAAGATCTGTTTAAGGTGTGGTGTCTCTTTGGTGAGAAACCATAAATCGCTACCCAACAAAGAGACATTTTTTATAAAGTCCTTATTCGATGTTCAACATCAATAGCGGGAGCTTGGATAGCCTAGATACATATGCATGTGTTATGGGAGCCAATGGGGCTTAGGTGTTCATTGCGTACGTGAGTATCATCTCATAAAATGACATAGTTTATTGCATTTGTTTATAATAGATTTATTTCAATAAATAAATGACAGGATGTTGCATATGATATTTCATATGCATCTGGGTTGTGAGGTGATCTCTATAGAAGATATTCTATTGAGCGTAACTCACCCTTAATAGGAAAGACATCCACTAGAGGCTCTAAGTTGGGCCTGCTTTGATAACAGAGCCAGACTGTGGCTCTTATTTTTGATGTTATAATTTTTGTTTCCGTTTATTTTGGCTTTGTATAAATTTTTTTTAAACAAAACTTGGATTTAAATTAAGGCATGTATATGTGACTCTTTTGGATATTTATTATTTAGGAAAGAATGTAGGCATAAATGATGGTTATGAGTTAATATTCTATGCTATGTTATTGAATACTAATGGATGTATACGTTGTGGTCAATATTATATAAATGCGCAAGTTGTGTATTGGATAGAGCTCTTCATCCCTGTAAATGGGACGTAACGGCGTGATATCGAATTATACGGTATTCACTGATATTTCGTAGATTAATGGATGATCAACAGATTAAACAGAACCTCTGGGAATCGAGGCGTCACAAGTTGGTGTACACCTGTGTTGCACATGCATCATTTAAATTATAGCACTCATAGGTGTATTTGATCAGGATTGGATACCTATTGAAACGTTCCCACGGATAATATAATACAACAATAAAAGTTTTTATGATACCAATCTACAAGACAAAATTCACTATGAATAGTTATTGAGTTCGGCAAAACATTTTCATAAACACACCAAAACTCTTATACTCCGTTTGGTAAGAAGAATGAAAAGTAGGAAGGATGAAAAATAGGAGGGATACACTTTCTACCCTTCAAGGATAAAAAGTATGAATGATACACTTTCATTTCTTTGTATTTGGTTGGATGGATGAAAAATAAAAATAACTAATTTTTTTTTGTGCTGGCTAAGATTAAGGGTGACAATCTAGTTATATCGTGTCAGATTCATGTTGAGTCATAAAATTATGAACCTTTTATATTTATTGTTCGTGTGTCAGGTCATTTTCAAGTTCGTGTCATAAAATTTGTGTCGAGTTCGAATCTTGTCATCGTGTTAAGTCAAAAATTTTCACCCCTAGTTAAGATAAAAAAATATTTTTTTAATTTATTTTTAAGTTTTACTATATATATTATATCATTGTATTTTTATGAAATTAATAGATACATAATATATAGATAAATAAGATACATTTCAACACAAATAATTAACTTTCCATCCACTTTCCTTCTGATTTTAGAGGGATTGATTTTGCTGAATTGAATACATTTACTTTTTCATCCTTCATATTTTCATTTTTTACCAAACATGATGTTTTATTTATCCCTCTAACTTTCCATTCTTCCAACTTTTCATCTTTTCATTTTTTATCATACCAAACGATGCATTAGCTTCTTATCGAGTTATACTATATATTTGTGTAGGTGTCTAATGTCTTGCTTTGATTATCAAAATGCAGATACTCTTAGTAAGACCAAAATTCAATAGCCATGCACGATGATTACCCAATGATTGTAATACAAATACATTGAATAAACTATTCTTTAACTGAAAAACATAAACGCTGCAGTACTAATACAAATATATATGGCAGAATTTTTCTCAACAGAATGTATAACCAATACATACGTTAAATTGTTCAACAATAATTCAACAGCTTCAACATGGCCATCAACTGTCTATCCCTTATAGCCTACAACATCAAGATCACTTCCCACCCCCAACAAGAAATCTAACCACCTCAACATGCCTGTTACCGCCACAACATAAAGAGTAATTTGATCATGATCATCAACTGAATTGAGTACTTCGCATCGCATGCATAATTGCTAAACATCTTTTTGCGTTATGGATGACATTAATCATCTCCAAATTGAAGTCATGTCATGGAAAAACTGATCGCATGAGTTTGTATATGACTTAAGTGAAGGTGCGGTGCATCCAATCGTGAAGCGAGGGAGAGGGAGAGGGAGAGGAGAGGGAGAGGTGAAAAAGGTAGTGATAGATAGAAAAAGAAATATGAATAGACATTAACGGCCATCAAGTTAAGTTTGTAATTTTAGTTACTAACTGAGAACTACAAGAAGGATAAACTGTTAACGATTTGATAACGTAAATAAGAAAAACCAATACAACAGTGAAGATCAACATGAATTATAGTTTATAAAGTATAAAACAACTGGAATTTAATCTAACCCTGAGTAATATAGTTTATAAAGAAGGGTATAGAGTCCCAAGGAAAATAGTTTATTAAAAAAAAAATGTGAGGATTCATCTAGTGAAATTAATATGAACCAAGCAACCAATAAATTAGAAACTTGATTCATTTACATAGATATAGATAGATCAGAGTTATGACCAGTGACTATATAGTATAAATATAATCAAGAAAAGATTTTGAGGTGGGCTAGTGCCCCTGGCCCTGCATAAATCCACCCAGCAAGTTAGATCGGTTAAACCAGGTCCACTCCAACTTTTGAGACTTGATATGATGCAAGTTGATTCAATACTATATGACTTAATTTAGATCGATCTGACCACAATTCCATTTACCTCTTTGCATCCATTGATGACAGTGTCTTAAATAAATTTTAAAGCATATACAAAATGGGAACATGCACCAAGCAATTTAAATAGATTTTACACCATAAATTCATAAGTGTGTATTAATAGTCCAAATAAAATATTTCAATCATGTCCAAATCAAAATTTTCAATTTAAATAGATTACACCTATTAATTTAGCTGTAAAATTAAAAAGTACTAAAAGTTATTTTAAAAAAAAAAAGAAACCAACGGTAAAACTAAAACTATTAAAAAAATTTGTCTTAACCCCCTAAAAAATCAAGTCTAAACTTACCATCATATTTTTTCAATAATTATTTCTCTTTTTTACCATGAAGTTCAAATATAATAATAAAAACTTGAATATAAATTTTTAATTAATATTTTTACATTTTAAAAAATTAAAAATTAAAAATATTATTAATATTAAAAATAAAAATATCTTATTTATTGTTTTCACTTTCCCACAAAAGGACTGTTTGGTATGCAGGTTTGAGGGGGTTTGGATTGTGGGTTGTGGAATAAATCCTTAAACTTATGTTGGGTAACCCATGTTTAGCCTAAAGTTTGAAAACCCAACACGTTGGATGGCCTGGTCATGAAACCCACGTACTTGGGTTTCATGAAACTCAAGGGGCGTGGATTTCATATGTGGGTTAAAGAGTTTAATGCACAAATAACATTTATACTTTCATATATTCTATATATTACATATATACAAATTGATTAATGAATAAAATAATTATTTATATATAAATATATTATTATAATAATTATGTATTCTTACACATATCAAATATAGGTATAAATAATATTAAATATTGAATCTCATTTTTAGATCAAATTCAAATTTAAATAAATCAATTTAAACTCCTTAAAAAAAAAAAAAAAGCCATAGCGAAGAAGCCAAAAGTGTTTTGGCCGCCCGTCTTAAGAGGCTTCGCGTTGGCTTGTTGAGCCAGACATGGCCATCCCCACCACCGTAATAGGAATCGTACCATTCCGCGTCGGAAGGACACAGACCAAATTCGCCACAGTTCATAAACAACATGAACTTGGACACGTATCAAGTTTTCATTGGTAGATACAATGAAATTTCAAAATTTTGGAGAATTTGACCCACTGACCATCACAATCCAATCAATCAGAGACAAAAACGTCTGCAAACTCAAACCAACCAGACCTCAGACAATCACAACCAAATACAGAATAGTCGCATTCAGTGTCTGTCCTATCAGTAGTGCAAACCTAGCAACCCTCTTACTTTCTTTAAATCTGTGGGGCCACCACTCTATTCTCTCTCAACTCATGGGCTGCAATCCCATGAGGGCATTCTCAGTTTTTGCGTCTCATCAGAGTTACTTGCGTGACTTAGATCAGGTTATGATTGTTAAACGATTGTACCCGCACCGAATATTCTCTGAAAATTAACAGTGAATTACTGGGACTTGAATTAAATTAGACTCTATTTTTTTAAGGGATAAAAATGATTAATCTTTTAAGAGGTGTAAAAAAAAAATTAAATTTAAAACTTTATACCTCTAAATTACCAAATAACAATTTCAACTACTAGAACAATCCTAACGGTTATTGTAGCGTTATAGTTGATGATTTGACAAAGAGTAATTTAGTTGTATTTAAAAATTTGATATAATTATGTGATTTCATTAGAATCATTAGATGAACATCAAATTTTAATATTTGATAAAATTCACAGTTAATACAAAGATTATAACAAATTAAGTCAAAAAATTAAATTAATAAATTAGGTACAATATCATTAAATTAATAAATTATGTCTAATATCTGTACTACTTAGAATATGTATAACTCCTCTAAATGAGGCCGCCCTCATTGTAACATTTTCCTTCTCTCCCTCCTGGCTTCCCCACAATCATACATGCACTCACTTTGATTTTAACATTCCTCTCCTCTCTCTAAATACGCACATTCGTATACAAACAAACACATCAAAGAACGGAGGTTGTGGTCCTCACACATCCCTCTCTAGCTTTTCACCTTTCCTCTCAAAATTCCCACCCCCCACATCCACCCACACCAATATCTTCCCTTCTTCTTCCTGAAATCCTCCATTGCCTTCACTGTTTTTCACTCTCTGATCCATGGAAGCAAGTAGAGCTGACCTAAAACAGAAGGGTGTGAAGGACAAAGTGAAGAAGGAAGCTGCAACAGAGGTTGAGGACATGGAAGATGATGAGTTCTTGGGTACTTCAGAGGATGATAGGAAAAAGAGAAGTGGTGGCAGTGGTGGAGGCAAGAAAGGGAGTGGTGGTGGGGGAGCAAGTTCAATGAGGTGTTGCCAGGCGGAGAAGTGTACTGCTGATCTTAGTGATGCTAAGCAGTACCATAGGCGGCATAAGGTCTGTGAACACCATGCTAAGGCTCAAGTTGTGGTTGTCGCCGGACTCCCGCAACGGTTCTGTCAACAATGTAGCAGGTTGAGTAACTTCTAGCTTCTTCTTTCCTTATACACCTTTTGTTGCATACAAAAAGAGATAGAATACACGAGAATTCTGATACTGCGGGGTCTCGGAATGGGCATTGGGCAGACTCGTTTGCTGAGTATGCTGATTTTTTATGCCTCTAATTTTGCATATTTCTGTCAAATCCTTCTATTATTAAATATGACTTGATATTAATTCGACGTCGATTCTTCCGAAGAAGAGGTTTGATGCTTCTGAATCCATTATATTAATTACACTGCCTACTCGCAGTCTACTCTCTTTTGATAGCTTTGTTAAATTTCAGTATTGTAGTTGAGTGTTGACTACTATTAACTATCAGATACATGTAGTAGGGCAAGTAATTCTAGCATAAACCCAAAATCAATTTGCTCATTTTGGGCATGAAGTTGACTTAATTGATCTAGTATTTCACCTGTACAGTTTCTTAAGGGGTTGATTGTCAGTGTCATTCTTATTGATGCTCAAGGAAGGGGTTCATTGTCAGTGTCATTCTTATTGATGCTCAAGGAAGTCGTTCTGCTAGATGCAAAAAAGTCATGATAGTTATTGCTATTATAAAAAAGAAGGCAAGAACTTGATCAGAATTGAGTTGACTGATCATATAATTCTTTGATAAACTGTGCTAGCCTTTCTTAATGTTTTTGTGGCAGTGATAAACAAAAGATATCTGCAAATAAAAAGGATAATATAAATGTTGGAAAAGAAAATTCCTATTATGTATGAAATGCAGAAGTCTTAGAAACAACCATATGTATGAAAGGTTAGATTATGTTAAATTTACCTGTCGTGGCTAAGCATTTCATTGAAGATAATCTTGATTTCATCTGATCTTGTCATATATATAATATCTTGAATTTAGCGGAATGTCTCAATTTAAACAATTGTGTACCATAGTAATGAAACCCACCATGCATCTTTGTGTCTACTCATGATGCCCTATACATTGCGAATTGAGTCCAGAAATTAGCCCCTTTACAATGGAGGTAAGACGGCTTATCACTTACCTCTCCAAAACAGTAGTACACCGCAAATGATCAAGTAGGTGACATCAAATCAAGTTGTATTCACTTGCATTTGTAATTTTGGAGGCATAAAATTGGATCCAGCATATGTGGTGCTAGTGTTATCATTTAGGCAATACACCCCATCTCTAATACTCCTACACCCCTCCACTCCTGAACCCTGCCCCAAGAAAGCATATCATTCTAGTCTTTTTTTGTTGACCCACTTCACATCTGGATCAAGTGAATGTGAAGGGGTAACTCAGGAGGAGCTTTGGGCCTTCATTACAATTGGTTTTTAAAGTCGTGCGGACCTAGTACAAAGTGGATAACACTGCATAATGTGGGTATGGGGCATTATCATTTGTATTAATGCCATTGTGTTGCCGAGGCCACCCATGTCTCTGTAGTGCATCTGTTGGAGCACCCAAGTCATTTGGGGCGGTGGAAGTTAGAGTGATGAGAGTAATCTCCTGGAAGCCCTCATTACCTGGTTCGGAGAAATGCCCAAACAAAGAACGTTTGGACTCAAGAGGTTAGATTATGATGACCCAATTTCACAGGCTTGTTGAATTGGATGTAGAGTGGTACAGAAGTATGAGTTTAGATCTTTATTGTGCCACATATATGAAAGTCATACGGGCCTAATCCAACACAAAAATAACAAATCGAATCGGGGGTGTTACTCTTGTTGTATGGCAGAATATTTGTCATATTCAGCCTTGACACCTTGTGCAGTACTTTGCAATGAAGGCAACATTGGAATTTTCTTGACTCAATCTTTTACTGATATGAAACATTGTGGTACAGATTTCATGAGATTTCAGAGTTTGATGAAGCCAAGAGAAGTTGCCGGAGGCGTTTGGCCGGACACAACGAGCGACGTCGGAAGAACTCAGCTGATTCTCATGCAGATAGCTCCTCAAGCCGCAAAGGGACAGGCACCGGGACTCAGTTGAAGGACCTTGTTTGTGGACAGGTTGATGATAGGGGAAGGATTCAGATAACCATCCAAGAAAATGCCACTTACAAACATTTCCAGATCAGATAAGATCTCCACTGTTTCCTCTCAAGCATGCAATGCTCCCTCTCTTCTGTCATCCTAGGAGTTTCTCAGCATAGTTGCACTGGTAATGTAATCCCATATCAGACATATTGAAGAAAAAGAACGAAAGTGGTATCGAGTTCGATACCTATCGAGATCTACAAGTAAATAAGGCTTTGTCACGACTCATTTGAGATCAAGTTATAACTTGAAAAGTGTGAAAGGGAGGTAAGTGGTTATGAGTTCAGTGAGATTAAATTACGACTCTAAATAAATTGGGATAGATTCTAAATATTAGAGTCGATCGCGAACCCTACTTTATTGTGAATCAGGTGATTGAATTGGAACTTCACCATTGTTTTGAAATAACTTTCGGTAAGGAATTGAAAAGCAACCCTTCGTTGCCCTACGCTTACCGATGGGAAAATTGTATGAGAAAAGTAGAGAAGCCAGCAGCAATGTCACATTTCTTCACCAGTTTATGGGATTGATAGTTGGCAGTAATATAAACTGTTCTATGTTGGCTTTGCTTATTTTAGAGCTTGTATGGTGTGCAATGTTAGACCCATTGTCTCTGGCTACTAATGATGCACAGATTGGTATTGCGCTAAATTAACAGTTGAGTATATGTAAGAGTGTAATTAATGAGCAATAAAAAGACAATCAATGACAAAACAGTAAATAAGAGCAACACAAAGATTTATAGTGGTTCCGTCCGGGTGATCTACTCCACTCTCGGGAATGACAGTGGTACCCGGAGATCTTTATTGATGAATAAAAGTCATCAGGAGAATTACAATGTCTTGGGAGAGAGGAGCAATATGAGTACAAAGGTGTGTAAAGGTTTCAAGGTGATGTCTTTTATGTGGAGAGGACTTACATTATATAAGTTTATTAAGGCGGTAATGTGAGGGAGATGATTTCTACTATTTTGGTAAGTACAAATAAAGTAAGATTAGATCTCTGAGCGTATCTTGATATTTTTTCTCTTGTGCTCCTATTCCGTTGGAGGAAGATCCTGAGTTGGATTGGACTTGAGTTAGAGTGGCAAAGAGAACAGGGCGAAGAAGAGACAGGTGGGGCCAACTCTTGGATGGCGTCCGAGCCCTGGTTGGCTCATGGACTTGGGTGACCCCCTTGGACGGCGACCCCTTGGCTCCTCTTTTGGGCGTTGGTTTCTTAATCTCTTTTTGGGATTGGTGAGTTGGTCCTTCTTGATTCGTTGGTTTTGGGTTGCTCTTTAGCTAACTTAGGCCTTTTTGATTCATTGGGCTTGATCCAGTTGATTTTGGGCTCATCATTTGCCCCCATGCTCCAAGCCTCTGCGAGAGGAAGGGGTTGAGGGCATGTGCTTCTTCTTCATTTGAGTGAGTAGGAGTTTTCGTACTCTCCACGGTACATCTTTGTCTTCAAAGATTGCTGAAATCCATTGACACTAGGAATATTTTTTTTACTACATTCCTTTTGTTGGGCCATTGGGAGGGCGGTTGGGCGATGCCAGCCAGCCGCTGGATGACGCCCGCAGCAGGAAGGAGAGAGGGTGAGATGGCGAGGAGGGGAGCCCATCTCCATAGGCGATGCCAGCATGGTGCTAGGTGGCCCTATGGGTGACTCCAACACTCCTCTAGACGGCGCCCTCGTCGCTAGGACCCTGGTGTGGAAAGGATTAGGTGGGCGAAAAGACTTGGTGGGTGGTGCCTAAAGCATAGGCGAGGCAAGAGGCGGCGTCCTTGGTGCAAAGGATCAGGTGGGCGGCACCCCGGGTCGCTTTGGCGACGTCTCGGGTGGCTTAGGCGACGCCTTGGGTTATTTGGGTGATGTTTCGGATCGCTTGGACGTTGGCATTGTGTATTGACCATGTTGGTGTTAGGTATTGACTATTGGGTGTTGGCGCTGGGTATGTACCATTGAATGCTGGTGCTGAGTATTGACGTTTGAGCGCTGACATTGGGTATTAACCATTGGATGTTGACACTGAGTATTAACCTTTGTGTGCTAGTGCTAGATATTGACCATTGAGTGCAGGCTCTAGGTATTGATCATTGGACGCTGGCGCTAGATATTGATCATGGGGCGCTAGGTATTGACCATTGGACGTTGGTGCTAGGCATTGACCTTTGAACACAAGGTGAAGCACTAAACAACGTCGAAATTTCGAACGACCATAATTTTTAGCTCAGTTGTTCATTTGAGACGAATTTTTTTTTGAATATGTGTATTTTTTCGAGATCTATGACATGGGGCAACTAATTTCTCCCAAAAATGCTTCTTTCTTGATGCTGATTCTTTATACCGACCTTGTCTTTAATTACAGTCGCCATGTTGATAGGGCAATGGTGAAAACTTTTTGTATTTTTAGGGTGGTGTCTCCTCCTCCCAAGAGGGCGAGGTTTGATGTCCCTAGGGCTTTTCGGCCCAAGTTACTTCCCGGGAGCGGGATCTGGTGGTGCTCCCACTCCTTCCTAGATTGGAACTTCTGTGTGTACCAAAGTTAGCCCTTGTACCATTGTAGGAGTTGAGACTTTAGTGCAGTTTTGCTACGGGGACTATAGTTTCACATACCTGTCATGTTTCGAGTTGTGGCTCGGTGTCAATCTAGTATAGTTTCATAAGTTACAGTGTGCCTGACAAAAATAATGTTATCCCAACATAAAAATATCTAACATGATTGTCTGGAGAGAGAGGCATGCTACTTGCATGAAAGCAAATTTAGAGCTGTGGATGTCTCGTGAGAGGGCCACATGAGCTGAGGCCGAGCTACGTATAGTCTCGGGGGATGACTACTGTGGTAGAGGCTTACAAGGTGACTACTTGCGCGAGCAGAGTCTGAGGCCGAGCTACATATAACTCGGCAGATGACTGCCGTAGCAGAGGCTTATAAGGTGACTACTTGAGCGAGAGCAGAGTCATAGGCTAAGTTATGTATAACTCAGGAGATGACTGCCGTAGCAGAGGCTTACAAGGTGACTACTTGCTTGAGAGCAGAGTCATAAGGCGAGCTACGTATAACTCGGGAGATGGCTACAGTAGAAGAGGTTTACAAGGTGACTATTTGCACGAGAGCAGAGTCATATGCTGAGCTACGTATAATTCGGGAGATGACTACCGTAGCAGAGGCTTACAAGGTGACTATTTGTGCGAGAGCAGAGTCATAAGCCAAGCTACGTATAACTTGGGAGATGACTACCGTAGTAGAGACTCATTTCATTGAGATGGAGATGAGGAGGGCGCTGAGGAGCTGGGTGCAGACGCTGAGGGACTCTGGGCGCCGATGGGCACGGACGCCAAGGGGCGCTGGTGCTAGGAGTGGAGAGGTCTTTCTTAGGTGACTTGCAGAAGGTGGGTGATAGTCAAGATTGGGCGACGGCCAGCCTGGGTGTTGGCCTGGGTGACGCCAACCAAGGCGTTGGCCTAGGTGGTGCCTGCCTGGGTGTTGGCCTGGAGTATGCCTGCCTGGGCGATGGTCTGGTCAAGCTCTCAGAACGCTCGGGCGATGCCTCGGCTAACACAGGGAAGCGGTTAGATAGTCACTTGATTTTGGCTTTGTTCTATATGAGGTGCCAGAGACAGACGATGATGAAAAGCTTTGATGATGACTTTTGTCTACCTTGTTGTTGGGTCATGTTTTGACTTTTATAAGCTATTTGTAAATTTTAGGAAAACAAAACAATTCTGGACACAATAATCTTCACAGAATTTTATTTCATCAAAATATAAATAAATAAATCAATTGAAGTAATAAATGATAGATAAAATCTTCAAGTGTTCAGTGTCTCATTAGTGGGCGAGGCTTTCTTGATGGAGTTCGAATCACCTTCTCTTCCTAGCCCTCAGGAGATCGTTTGGATTTCTCTGAAGGGTTGCTGGCGTTCTCTGTCATCCTGGTCCCGACCAGGTGGTAGGGCTTGTCATCTACCAGTAATGTACTGCCTCAAGTGGCCACGTGCTTGACAAATTTCATTGTTGTTTCCTAACCTATAAACATCACCTTTTAGCATGTATAGTATATGAATAAAGGGGAGTGTCACTCTCCTAGGGATGATGTCAAAAGAAAGGACAACGGAATGGTGGATAAATGAGATTTCAAATGTGAGTATCTGTGAACAAAAGTGCTCCCCAAGCGCAAGGAGACTTTCACGGATCGTGTTTTACTTGGTGGTATTACAAGGTCGTTTCCACGGGGAAGGAAGTAAACCGAGGGGAAGGTGATTTTGAGAGAAAGAAAGTGTAAAATCTTTGATTGTTGGAAGTTGTTTGGTGAATTTGTTTTGATGCTAGTAAAATGAGAAACAAATGTTGGCAAATCCAAAAGGTCACTCCAATAGGAATACCGTCTCAACTCAAAACCCTCCTCCAATAGAGCATGAATGAATGATTGATTCGTGGGAAGCTAGGGGTAAGATTGGTGAGTATCTAAGCATAAACCGTGACTAGGCCTACGGAATATCAAAGACTCACCAAGTTATCCACCCTCAACCCAGTCAAACCAAACCATTGAACTCTAAAAAGAGGGGAGGAGAATGAGTTGAAATGGTATACCCAAGTGGAGGTTCCTCTTGGTTTTGCCAACTAAGAGATTTAGCTATTCATACTTAAAATAAAGACAACAATATGATGAGAAGACATTATGAAAAAATAAAGACTAAAGTTAAGCATAAACGAATTGCATAAATTTAACTTTCGGATAACCACCTCTTACTAAAGATTGGATGAGAAACTACTCACTCTTCATGACTTTGTTAAAACTAGAAAAGTGAGTGATGCTCATCCCTCCAAGTAGAGGAGTTACAAGGTAACAAATTTTACACAAGGAGCCGATCTTCGACAAAGAATGAGTGAATCACGTTCCACCCTTCACGGCTTTGGTAAAGCTCTAGAAAAGTGGAAGAGTTTCACTCCTCTAAGGGAAGAAGGAAGCTCAAGCAATGGAAGTAAAAGAGCAATAACATAATAAAAGAAAGCAATATTTAAAGTAAAAGAAAACAATAAATTAAAAGGAAGCAAGAATACAATAAAAGAAAGCAATACTTAAAGAAAGCTATAAGCAATAAGGAAAGCAATAATACTTTTGGAGGGTTTTCCACTCCCAAAAGATGAATGTTTTACAAGTCCTAAGGGGTGGTATTTATAGGCAACAAGGGAGGGTGAAAGTCTTGTTAGGTGGCCTTGAATCTTGTTAGGTGGACTTGAAGAGTCTTGTTAGGTGGACTTGAAAATCTTGTTAGGTGATTTTGAATCTTGTTAGGTGGACTTGAAAATCTTGTTAGGTGGCCTTGAATTCTTTGATCCTCCTTTTTTTTGATCTTTGATAATTGGCACCCCAGTAGTTTGTAGCTTTAATGCAATTGGCTCCCCAGTAGTTTGTAGCTTTGACGCACAAAATCCTGAAAAGAACAACAATTAATGCATTATCCTTTATTCACACACTAATTCTAATTTGATTTATTTTGACTAGTTTAACTTTATTCAACTAACACAATTTACCTATTAAATTATGCCTTAATTAGGGTTAATCACACCCCCCAACCTAAATATTACTAGTCCCTAGTAATAAACAACATAACA